AGAATCATCAAAGCATCATTCAAAACAAAGAAGGAGGGGATCACAATGAATATTATCCAATGTTATACACCCACCAATGATAGCAACGACGACATTAAAGATCAATTCTACGAGCGGCTGCAGTCAGTGATAGAGAAATGCCCAAGAAAGGACCTCGCTATTCTGATGGGAGATCTAAATGCCAAAGTCGGAATAGACAACACCGGATATGAAGATATTATGGGACGACATGGACTGCGACAGAGAAACCAAAATGGAGAAAGATTTGCAAATCTGTGTGCATTCAACAAATTGGTCATAGGAGGCACAATATTTCCACACAAGCGTATAAACAAGGCTACATGGATCTCACCGGACCACACTACAGAGAGTCAAATAGATCATATTTGCATCAACAAAAAATTCCGAAGGACAATGGAAGATGTGAGAACCAGGAGAGGTGCTGACGTAGCTTCAGATCACCACCTAGTTGTAGCCAATTTAAAACTGAAGCTAGAGAAGAACTGAACAACCGGACAAACAGCACTACAAAGGTTCAATACAGCCTTCCTTCGAGATACTGACAAACTCAATGAATTCAAGATAGCTCTCAACAATAGGTTCCAAGCCTTACAGGATCTACTGAAGAAAGAAGAAACTACTATGGAGGACAACTGGAAAGGCATCAAGGACGTATTAACTTCAACGTGTCAAGAGGTTCTCGGTCTAAAGAAACACCATCATAAGGAGTGGATATCTATAGAAACACTGGACAAGATCAAAGAAAGGAAGAACAAGAAGACAGCAATTAACAACAACCGAACACGAGCAGTAAAAGTCCAAGCACAAGCTGAATACACAGAAGCGAACAAGCAAGTGAAGAAGAGCATTACAGCCGACAAGCAGAAGTACGTGGAAGAACTAGTAACGACGGGGGAAAAAGCTGCTAGGGAAGGAAATATGAAACAGCTTTACGATACAACGAAGAAACTATCAAGGAAATACAGTAAACCAGAGAGACCGGTCAAAGACAAAGAAGGCAAGCCAATCACCGAAATTCAACAACAGCGTAACAGATGGGTAGAATATTTCGAAGAGCTCCTGAATAGGCCGGCTCCAATGAATCCACCGGACATCGAAGCAGCACACACAGATCTTCCTATAGATGTCAATCCACCAACGACGGAAGAAATTAGAATGGCCGTCATACAAATCAAGAACGGGAAAGCAGCAGGACCCGTCAACTTACCAGCTGAAGCACTGAAGTCAGACATCGAAGTAACTACAAACATGCTTCACTTTCTATTCAAAAAGATTCGGGAGGAGGAACAAGTGCCGATGGACTGGAAAGAAGGACACCTCATCAAGATTCCAAAGAAAGGAGATCTGAGCAAATGTGAAAACCACAGAGGCATTACACTACTGTCAACACCAGGGAAAGTCTTCAACAGAGTGTTGCTGAACCGGATGAAAGATGCAGTAAACGCCCAACTTCGAGATAAACAAGCTGGATTCCGTAAGGATCGGTCGTGCACAGACCAAATTGCGACACTACGGATCATCGTCGAACAATCAATTGAGTGGAACTCATCACTATACATCAACTTCATTGATTATGAAAAGGCATTCGACAGTGTAGATAGGAGGACATTATGGAAACTTCTTCGACACTACGGAGTTCCTGAGAAGATTGTCAATATTATCCGGAACTCATACGACGGACTACAGTGCAAAGTAGTGCATGGAGGACAGCTGACAGACGCATTCCAGGTATGGACCGGAGTCAGACAAGGCTGTCTATACTCTCCCTTCCTCTTTCTTCTGGTGGTCGACTGGATTATGAAGACCTCGACATCTGAAGGAAAACACGGAGTACAATGAACAGCTCAGAATCAATTAGACGATTTGGACTTCGCAGATGACCTAGCCCTCCTATCACGTACACACGAACAGATGCAGATGAAGACAACCAGTGTAGCAGCAGTCTCTACATCAGTAGGCCTCAGCATACACAAAGGGAAAAGCAAGGTCCTCAAATACAACACGGAGAACAGCAATCCAATCACTCTTGATGGCGAGACTCTGGAAGATGTAGAGTCCTTCACATACCTAGGAAGCATCATCGATGAACAAGGAGGTTCAGATGCAGACGTAAAGGCGAGGATCGGCAAAGCAAGGGTCGCATTCCTGCAGTTAAAGAACATATGGAAATCAAAACAACTTTCAACCAACATCAAAGTGAGAATCTTCAATACAAATGTCATGGCAGTTCTACTGTATGGAGCTGAAACTTGGAGAATTACAACAATCACCATCAAGAAAGTACAAGTATTCATAAATAGCTGTCTACGCAAGATACTCAACATCCATTGGCCGGATACCATCAGCAACAGCCTTTTGTAGGAGAAGACAAACCAGCTTCAAGCTAAAAAGGAAATTAGGAAAAGACGATAGAAGTGGATAGGACATACATTACACAAATCATCAAACTGCATCGCGAGGCAAGCCCTAACTTGGAATCGTGAAGAGAAGCGAAAAAGAGGAAGGCCAAAGAACACACTGCGTCGGATAACAGAAGCAGATATGAAAAGGATGAATTACAACTGGACGGAGCTAGAAAGGATTGCCTAGGACAGGGTTGGATGGAGAATGTTGGTGAGCGGCCTATGCTCCTTCTCGAGGAGTAACAGGCGTAAGTAAGTAAGTAAGTGGTTCCCGTCAACTACTTATCACCTGTGATATTTAAAATCATGATTACATAATGGGTTTGGTTGGAATTTATATTAAAGATACATTAGTATAGGATAACATGGGTGTAAATAAGTTGAGTAGACTGAATATTGTGAATATATATATTTTATGTGAACGAACATTCTACAACATTGATTGTGACAACAATTATTTCTGGCTGTTTGAATTGTTAGTATTCTACTAGAATCTTTGTTCTTACTCTGTTTTCTTCTTGTATCATAGTCTGACTTTAACTGATATAACTAATTGGTCTTTCTAGATAAGGTCGATATATTTGATTTAAGTCAATATACTTGCTTATTATAGATGGATCTGAATGCTATGACTTATAGATTCTAAAATAAGGCTGATTATTTTGTGTCTGTCTTATGTACTGTAACTAAATATAACTGCTCCTTGATTCTTTATGCTGGAGTCGAAGATAGTCACTTCCAAGGAGTTCCATACTATAGACAAAACGGTTGTTTATTATTTTCTGGCTTTCAATTGTGATCAGTTCTTGATTTAAACTATGAACATAGAAAAATATTAGTAAATAGTCCATCTTTTTTCATACGATTAAATTGTATGTTCAATTAAATATTATCCCTATGTAAATCTCATACAGAATCACTTTAACTAAAATGACAGAACATTAAAATAATCGGATCTAAATTTAATTTTGATTATGCTAAAAATATTTTGCTTTGCTTCCTTTTTTACTATTTAAATCTATGTTAATTAATGTATTTATTCTTTAAGGAAATTGCTTACACTAAATCATAAAACGTCAGAAATTTACCATTATTTCTATTATTAACAATTTATCCAATGCTCAATATTGTAATCACAATTGATTGATCACTGGGTGGTGATCAATTACATCTGTATTAAGTCTTTCCTAGTGCAGATCGAATGCTATCGATCAAGTTTCAATGTGGCCACTAGTTTAGGTGACTCGACATTGCATGCACTATGCTGAGATGAAATGGTGGTTGTAGGTAGTCAACAGGAAACCCTGGACCCGGGTTTCGTGCTACTTGGCACTCGTCAGCAAGGTGTACCTGTAATCTTGAGGGAACTGGTGCTCCCTGACGGATTCGATCCCAATTTCGTTTTGTAATTATCAGTTCAAACCGTGATATTAATAAGCAAAGAGAGATAGTGGCTAGCAGTAGAATCCAGGAGACGTGTTTCATCTCACTTGGGATGGATCAACTGGATGTAACTGCATCTCAGAGTTGATGTTCACTCCAAAACTCGAATACAGTACCGTTCGCTTCAAACTCCATCACGTTATCCACTTAGCTATTGAGTCTTGATAGCCAATTGCTTATGTAATGGGGTCAAGTTTAAATTCATTTTGTATTGTTTATTTCAATCTTCCCATTGATATGAACATCAACTGTAGGATACAGGTACATTCAGCTGATAAGTCCCAAATAGGACGAAACGCGCGTCTAGGATTCCACTGCTAGCCACTATCCATCTTTGCTTATAATACATGTGAATCAAAGTAATGTCGAAGCAATAGACACTGTTTGCACATATACCAATAAGAGACTAATCAACTACAGTCCTAAACATCAATCGGAAGATTCAAGTAAGTAATATCTGATATTATTTCTTCTAAAAAATTAATAAGCTGGACTTGCAACAAAATTAATATTATAAAGAAGATTGAATTTCAATCAAGGTAAAAACTTTCAATTATAAACTAGAAGAAGTTTCAATTGATTTCATCCTACTGAATGTTAAATAGAATCTCCACTTCAACACTTAAACTCAACATTTATTTAAGTTGATTAAATCTATTCGAAGTAATTAGATTTATTGATTATACTTGTAACTATGTTAAACTATAGATGAATACAATTCTAAACATTGAGAAATGACAATAAAGAATTCATTATTTGAAATAGCTGACCAATGAAGTAAATGTAGAATTAAATGGATTGAACTGGGAAAAAAATTGTAGTTGAAAATAATTCAGAATATTACTATTACTTCTTACATTTTCCATTAAATTCAGTTGTTTGATAGTTATGCATTTGATGAATAAATCTGAACTACCATAGTCGTATCCAACTAACAAAATATATAATTATAAACAGTTACATAGTTCAACTAAACAAATACTGTCAATATATGTCTGTTATCATTAAATTAATCTGATTGGTTAGATATTACATTCAGTTCGCATCCAATTCACTTTAAATTCTTGTACAATTCAATCGTCACATATCAAACATAGACTCAACATCAAAGTCACACCACCGTATTCAAACACAATGAAAGAGACCGTTGGTTTATGGAGAAAATTATGTGTTATCAACAAACGATTGGATGGGAAAATGGCAATTGTGACAGGATGTAACACTGGAATCGGTCTTTATACAACCAGTGAATTAGCTCGTCGTGGTGCAACAATCATTATGGCATGTAGAAATATTGAACGAGCCAACAAAGCTAAAACACGTCTAATGGAACTGTATGGTAAGAATAATGAGAAAAGTGGCGAAACAGATATTGCATGTAGTCAAGTGAAGTCATCTTTAAAGCCTATCGAGTCAGATCAGGTATGCTAGCATTGACTTTAGTATACTCTTCTTAAGTTATATCCCTTTCTTGAGGTTGATAAGCTTATAATTTAATAGAAAAAAGAGAATTCAGCGAAGAAAATTATCTTTTCGACGAAATCATTTACTTAAGCTCTACATTCGTATATATAGTTATATATGGAAAATGTATGTCTATAAGAAGATAGAAAAGATTGCATCAAGAAGATGGATTCTAAAATAAATAACAAGTGAGGTTACGTACTAATCATGGGGTAAGGAAGAAAATAATTTATGGGTCAGATAATAGTCCACTTGACAGATATGAAGAAAAGCGACATACACAAGATCATATTAATAGACTGAATAACATCAGAAGGGGTTGTGTGGAGATTTTAGGAATTTCACTAGTTGAAATCATGAGTCAATTGAAGCTAGGCCACCATGGAAAACCTGGAAGCACTGGACGATTCAATTCCTTTGACTCTGTAGATTACTTTAAAAGAAGAGTCCTTTGGAGTGATGTGTCCACAGTTTATCAAATGCTCCTGTATCGAACTAGTAATTGTTTTACGTTCTCCTTTCAAGAGCCAGGTTGGATAGTGTTCCGAGATGCGTTTGGGCAGTGATCGCTTTGTGCGGCCTATGTAACGTGCCCCAAATAAGCAATATGAATTAGCAATGTCGTTGAAAAGAAAATTTTCTTCGCTGAATTCTCTTTTTCTTATTTAATGACACTGGGTTATTTTAATTATCTGAAGTTCATAATTAGTCTCAGTAATACTCGTCAGAGTATTAGCTAGTCACTGAATAGCACCATCTGCTGAAATATTGTTATAGTGAAAGTTAAATATCATATCCAGCTAGATCTTGAGATGAATTCATTTTTATCCTATTCATTTAAGTGTAATAAACAGATACATCAGTATGGCCTTGAAGGAAATTACTATCAATATCACAATAGGGTTCGTGGATATTGTAGTAATTTTAATGGTTGAAATGATGAGTCGATTTAAGTTAGAACATTATTTAAAAGATGGAAGTAATGAACGTCCGTTTTGATCTAGTATAGGACTTCTCAACAGTACGCATTCAGGACGAAATAGTCATTCAGTGCTTCCAGGTTTTCAGTGGTGGTCTCGTTTAAATCAACCCATAATTTCAACTATTAAAATTACTTATAAGATATAATATCTAAAAAATCATCAACGACTCATATTATAGAGATATAGATAAAAGAACTATGTATTCATTTACTGATCTTCTCTGAGCTGATTGTTTTTCTTATAACATTAGATGAAAATCATAAAACGCTTATCGATAAGCCAACTAATGTTTTATGATTATAACATCATTTCATCTAGTAATATCAATCAGTATAAGAAGAAAAAACAGTGAATCAAGTTTAAGTTTATATTTGATTCTCGATTTTATTATTCAAATATGTAAGTAACAATAACGTGTTATTCTTATACTTAAAACTCTTTTGAACTGGACACGATTTGTTGAGTAGTAGAAGGTTATGCGGGAAATAACTTAGCCTTGTTTTAATGCCTTTACGTTTTTTAGCATGATAATGTGTCATACATGTGGGGCTGAATGGAACATTATAAAAGAAATTAGAGATCATTAGGAATGTCATTTGAATGGGATAAGTAACTATGAAATACAATGATTTCGTATAATTCTGTTTCAATTGTTGTTCAACCTTTATTCAAGTTCGTAAACGGAACCAAGTGCATGAGGTATATTGTGTCCCACCATACTATATTCAAATTTTATTGAAACAGTGGAGACAATGTGTTTAAGAAAGGTTCTCATCAATTCTCTTCCATAATATTTCAATTTCATTCCAGTTGATCATTGAACAACTTGATCTGGCTTCGTTAACATCAATCAGAGAATTTGTTGACAGAATCAAAAGTAAATACAATAAAATAGATTTTCTCATCAACAATGCTGGACTCATACTACAGAACTATACGACAACTGAAGATGGTTTTGAAATGACAATGGGAGTGAATTATTTTGGACCATTTCTACTGACAGAATTGTTGTTACCATTGTTGAAGAATGCTGCACCATCACGAATAATAAATGTGTCATCTGCACTGCATAAAGATGGATGCATTCTAAAACCTGATTTGCAGTACAGTAAGGAAAATTATAATGCAATGAAGGCATATAGTGTATCGAAATTGGCAAACGTGATACATGCTATTGACTTAAAAGAACGTTTGAAAGATAGTGGAGTAGTTGTTGTGAGTTTACATCCCGGAACTGTCAAAACTGAAGTGCTGAGGGATCTGAGAAAGTTTCCTATGGTGAGAGATTTTTATACGTTTAATTATCATTTGATGATGTGTGATAATTAGAAGTATTTGAATTATAGTATAAACTAAGAATCCAAGAAATAACGCAATTGAATCAAGAAGTACTAGACAAGCACAAACGAATGTACTTTATTTGAAATTCGAAATTCAGCATTCCACAAGTACAAAAGAATCATTAGTTCATTCAAACACCATATGATGTTTTATCTAGTGCAATAGCAAAATTCATTATAAAATAATCGTAATATGCATAATGATGTAGAGATTTTATGTCAAGTGAACCTAATTTCTACCGTAATTTCTGCTTCGATTTGAAATTACGATAAAATTGATTGATATGACGATCATGATGAACATGAGATTGTTCACATATAAACCTTCAAGTTGGTTGAGATAAAGTGGTTCATTGTTTGTCGATCTGAACATTACGATCGATTTCCAATAATTAGATGAAGTGGGTATTAATGTTACTCAACAATGAAATACATAGGACAATATCTTGGTATGTTTCCGACATGTGTATCTATGTATATATGACGTCTATACAAAACTTAATAAATCATTAGCATTTATCAATATATGTATACTGAAATAACAGTAATGCTGTGAATTATTCCGTTTACTCAATTATGTATTATTCACCTCATTTATTTTAGAATATTATACGATTTCTTATGCGGACTGTATTTACTACACCATGGAAAGGTGCACAAACTACTCTATATACTGTATTAACAGATAACTTGACTCCTGGAGGTTATTATTCAAATTGCACATTGAAAAAACCTTCAAAATCTGTTCAAAATGGGGAAGACAGAAAATGGTTTTGGAATAAAACATGTGAACTATTGAACATACAATGTGATAACTAGGTGTGAATGACTACTCAAGTGAACTGTGTAGACAGAATTCGGTGTTCATTTTGATGATCGTTTTGAGACAAATTCACCAATAGATCAGTTAATAGAATGTGATGATTTTCAATTTGGTGTTATTTACAATATGATTTCACTTTGTACACACTGATTTGAGTGAATGAAAGCGTTGCTCTTTTCAAAGAGTTAACAGTTTGTGTGTGTTTTCTGTTTGGTTAATTGTGACTTGACTGGATGGTGTGAGTATTGCATGAATAATTTGACGGGATGTGATTTTGTTTGTTGATGAACTGATCGACTTGAAAACAGTTTCCATCAGGGAATGAGATGAGTGGAAGAGTCATTTTCACAAATGTTCACATCTCGATCTCTGTTGACACTCACCACATCACATGAGATCGAAGTCAGCACATCGACTTACCTTTCCAGTTCGGTCTAGTTTGATATTGACTGAATGAAAGAAAAGTGACTTTCACTCAAAAGGTTATACGTAACTGAGTACCACACATCTAGTCCGTTTCAACATCGTTCGCAATCACTTTCCTGAATGATTTCTTCTGAGACTAACACAAATTATTCACTTTGCGTGAATACACATGATCAAATTCAAATGATTGTCCACTAATATTTCTGAGCATACACGCCTTTTGTGGGTGTAATACAAGTGTTCGTATTTCCGAGTGAACAACTATTGTTTGTATCTTGAAATATAAGTGACAACACACTGCTAATCGTCAACGAAGCACAAATGCCATTTCGGTTCACTGCACTCTGAATAGTTTTTATACTCGAATTATTCAGATTCGATACCCCCAGGCTCCTCACTGTGTTTGCTTCGCTCTATCATATAATAAGCACATTCCAAATACTTAGATAAATCCTCAGTTGACTCCTCTTCTGAAATCTACCTCCCCATTTTCTCTCGAATTGATCATGTATACTTGGTCACTCTTTGTTTATGACCAAAGTCCTTAGGTGAATTGTGGCTAAATATTGATGAAACAGTGATCACCAGTCACTATTATTAAGTTGTGAAGGCAAATCGAGAGTAATGAAACTACTGACGAAGTGTTTATCATTCAGTCACCAGATAGATGGTATCAACGAAGAGACTAGTACAGACATAATACTGCACACACAGAGCAAAGTGAATCACAGAAAGACCACGATCAAACGCGTCGAAATGACAAAACCACAAAAAATGCAGGTAAAACATAACACGGGGTCGAGTGATGATAAATATTAAATAATACGGAAAATCACTATCAGGTGAACGATCTGCCACACAATAACCAACTTCTATCCAAGTGATCTGGGGTCACTCAGAATCCAGTACGATTGTTGTATTGACCCCATTCAATAAGTCAACCCCATCCAACACAGCTCCGATCAACAGTCGTCACATCCACAGATTGATGCAATATGGAACCATTGTCTCACAAACCAACACAGAATTATTTTGGTCAGAGAGTGAAACTGTTCTTATAAAACCTCATTAACAAATCAGTCATCTGAATCGAATTCATCGTAGGCACCATCAGATCTGGTCACAGAGACCACATTGGTAATTGAACTGACGGCTAAAATGCATGTGAAATTCACACCAGTGAATAAAATTAAGTTCAATAAACTTAATTTTGCTCTTAACGATAAAGAAATATTTGGATGATGAAATTTAACTTGAAAGTTCGATGAATTATTTTGTTGACTGTTGAAATATGAGTTTAATGATTGAAAATTTATCACACAGATTGTTTTCTTCAACTTCAGTCAAGTTCCATTCAATCTAAAACAAACATGGGAACAGGAACTACGTAGACCTAAAATTAACTACGACATAAATTATGACATTATTGCTATGTCTATTTTACGTTCTCTGTCCTTACTCACTTTCCTTCGACTCTTTTGTGTATTGTCTTATACTACTTTTCAATATTCAGTAAATAGTTGCATTCCTAGCAATTTCTACACGTACTCATGTTTGTTGTGTAATATTCCAAAATGTTAACATTTACTTTAATTTTGTATTTATCATTATAATTAATTGATCTCAATTATTGTAGCAGTTATTCGCATTTTTATGCACTCATTTAACCCTTGTGTAAATCCAATAGTTCCCATATTGTTTGTCCTTGGTTCAGTATTTGTTTGTTGATAAACTGTTACCAAGTTTAGACACTGCTAACAGCTGTCATTTGCATTATCATATGTTGTAGTTATTTTATACGCTACTGTTACAGGAAGCCCTCTTATTTCACTTATGGATGCGGGAAACGCAACGGCTGTATCGTAAAAACTGCGGATATGATGACGGTTTGAGTTCGAGTATGGAAACTTAATTGTAAGAAATTGCAGGTGTTAAAGCCTTGAGGATATTACCATGTTTATGTATCGAGCCTCTTATTAAAAGATCGATATCTGATGCCTCAGAAAGCGGTGATGAAGCCGTAGCTTATATGAGATCACGCAAGTACAACGAGATGTTTCATCCTGGACAAATACAGAATAGTTCCTCTAAAACTTGTTCCTGTTCCACGCCTTGAATTGAAAGCTTCAGCTTTGTCAGTGAAACTGATGAGACAAATAGTGGAAGAAATAAGGCTGGAACATTTGACTGAAATCTACCTTTGAACTGACGTGATGTAAAGATCGAGGTTGTATAAGAACAAATATAAGGACGCTGAGGAAATTCGGAGGCGTCTTACCGATCAGTTTATTGAACTTAACGAAGCGAATAACGTTCAAGAACTGCAGAAGTGAAGAAAATACTGTTGGCTGAACTAGATTAAACCTCACACTTGAAAAAAAGGCAAATTGATACTTCGGATCACGTTAACTACGGCACAGTTATCCGTGATATGTAGAGTTATTTTGGTCATGTATAACACGTTTACCAACCACCTCAGGTTAATTTGCCTAATTTCCAAATCGCTTTCGACATTATTCCGCAACACTGTGGGCCTAAACTCAGTATTTCTCACTATACAGTCAATCATCTGGACTCGTCACTTATCCGGCATTTGTGATCTGTGCATGTATTGCACATTCACATACTGCTGCGCACCCATTAAGTAAAACAGAAATTGCAGTAGTACAGTAATCTCCTGCTGTTCTACATACACTGCAAGTTGTTAGTATCTTCACCGAACAGATCTGTGCTAGCTGAATAGTCCTTGTTGGTGAGAAAGCAATCATGTACGAGTTGAGTAGTTGGACAGTGAGACGATGAGAACGACAACTTCAGAACTACATATGTAACCAAACAATCATTCGTGTTACGATTAAGCTGTCATTACAGACACCAATGAACGAAGCATGATGATGGATGATACATTGGCTTGAAAACCTGTAAGAAGTTAAATATTTAGTCACGTATCAAAATCATGGACTGTAGTACATTTTCAACTGTATTATTTATGCAGACAACTCGTTGGATTTCGTGAAGAAATTTCCGTTCTCCTGTGTATAGATGAAGACAATGACAATTCGGACTGTCAGAGCTAGTCGTACAGGCAGAAAAACGAAGTCAAAAGTTATTTTGGAAACACGTATTTACTTAAAAAATAGTAGACGAGGTTGAGTTTGACGAACATGTTCAGTCGGTGACCATTTCCTGTTCACATGTGTGGTGGAAGCATTCACTGAGCTTCATTGACCAGTGAAGAGACCGATCTAATATTGAGGCTACTTCTAAAATTTTGTGTGACTTACCTACTTACGCCTGTTACTCCATCGAGAAGGAGCATAGGCCGCTCACCAGCATTCTCCATCCAACCCTGTCCTGGGCAATACTTTCCAGCTCCTTCCAGTTGTAATTCATCCTTTTCATATCTGCTTCTATTATCCGACGTAATGTGTTCTTTGGCCTTCCTCTTTTCCGCTTCTCTTCACGATTCCAAGTTAGAGCTTGCCTCGTGATGCAGTTTGATGATTTGTGTAATGTATGTCCTATCCACTTCTATCGTCTTTTCCTAATTTCCTCTTCAGCTGGAAGCTGGTTTGTTCTCTCCCACAGAAGGCTATTGCTGATGGTATCCGGCCAATGGATGTTGAGTATCTTGCGTAGACAGCTATTTATAACTACTTGTACTTTCTTGATTGTGGTTGTTGTAGTTCTCCAAGTTTCAGCTCCATACAGTAGAACTGCCTTGACATTCGTATTGAAGATTCTCACTTTGATGTTGGTTGAAAGTTGTTTTGAGTTCCATATGTTCTTCAATTGTAGGAATGCGACCCTTGCTTTGCCAATCCTCGTCTTTACGTCTGCATCTTTTAGTGGCCCGTTTGATCTGACTCCATTTAGAGCGTATGGATGTTTGTTATCGCCTTTTCTCGTATATCATCGTCGACTTAAATCGCGTTATCCAATAACGGAATTAAATATGTCGAATAACGAGAATTGACTTGAGAATACATATATTTCGTACATGAAACGAATGAAACAGAGCAAAGCAAAATGACACGCAGGGAAGATGGCTGGAAAGCCAACTCCATCTTTGTCAAGCGTTACTCAATATTTATAGTCAGACAAAATAAAGCTACAGACATGTGATTAATGGAATAAGAAGGGCACACACATGTAGGCTCATATAAAAACAGTCTAGATTGATAAGCGAATAAATAACAAGGTCAAAGTATGGCTCAACTAAAATTAATAGAATGGGATGTCCGAAAGCCCGAATAAGGTATATGGGCTTGGCATAATAACTGACACTACAATCTGAACCTCCTTGTTCATCGATGATGCTTCCCAGGTATGTGAAGGATTCTACATCTTCCAGAGTTTCGCCATCAAGAGTGATTAGATTGCTGTTCTCCGTGTTGTATTTGAGGACCTTGGTTTTCCCTTTGTGTATGCTGAGGCCTACTGATGCAGAGACTGCTGCTACACTGGTTGTCTTCATCTGCATCTGTTCGTGTGTTCGTGATAGGAGGGCTAGGTCATCTGCGAAGTCCAAATCGTCTAATTGATTCTGAGCTGTTCATTGTACTCCGTGTTTTCCTTCAGATGTCGAGGTCTTCATAATCCAGTCGACCACCAGAAGAAAGAGGAAGGGAGAGTATAGACAGCCTTGTCTGACTCCGGTCCTTACTTGGAATGCGTCTGTCAGCTGTCCTCCATGCACTACTTTGCACTGTAGTCCGTCGTATGAGTTCCGGATAATATTGACAATCTTCTCAGGAACTCCGTAGTGTCTAATAAGTTTCCATAATGTCCTCCTATCTACACTGTCAAATGCGTTTTCATAATCAATGAAGTTGATGTATAGTGTTGAGTTCCACTCAATTGATTGTTCAACGATGATCCGTAGTGTCGCAATTTGGTCTGTGCACGACCGATCCTTACGGAATCCAGCTTGTTTATCTCGAAGTTGGGCGTTTACTGCATCCTTCATCCGGTTCAGCAACACTCTGTTGAAGACTTTCCCTGGTGTTGACAGTAGTGTAATGCCTCTGTGGTTTTCACATTTGCTCAGATCTCCTTTCTTTGGAATTTTGATGAGGTGTCCTTCTTTCCAGTCCATCGGCACTTGTTCCTCCTCCCGAATCTTTTTGAATAGAAAGTGAAGCATGTTTGTGGTTGCTTCGATGTCTGACTTCAGTGCTTCAGCTGGTATGTTGTCGGGTCCTGATGACTGGCCATTCTAATTTCTTCCGTCGTTGGTGGGATGACATCTATAGGAAGATCTATGTGTGCTGCTTCGATGTCCGGTGGATTCGTTGGAGCCAGCCTATTCAGGAGTTCCTCGAAGTATTCTACCCATCTGTTTCGCTGTTGTTGAATTTCGGTGATTGGCTTGCCTTCTTTGTCTTTGACCGGTCTCTCTGGTTTACTGTATTTCCCTGATAGTTTCTTCGTTGTGTCGTGAAGCTGTTTCATATTTCCTTCTCTAGCAGCCTTTTCCCCCGTCGTTACTAGTTCTTCCACGTACTTCTGCTTGTCGACTCTAATGCTCTTCTTCACTTGTTTGTTTGCTTCTGTGTATTCAGCTTGTGCTTGGACTTTTACTGCTCGTGTTCGGTTGTTGTTAATTGCTGCCTTCTTGTTCTTCCTTTCTTTGATCTTGTGCAGTGTTTCTGTAGAGATCCATTCCTTATGATGGTATTTCTTTAGACCCAGAACCTCTTGACACGTTGAAGTTAACGCTTCTTTGATACTTTGCCAGTTGTCCTCCATAGTAGTTTCTTCTTTCTTCAGTAGATCCTGTAAGGCTTGGAACCTATTGTTGAGAGCTATCTTGAATTCATTGAGTCTGTCAGTATCTCGAAGGAAGTTTGTATTGAACCTTTGTGCGTAAACCTTTGTGTGACTGAAGATTAAAAATATACGTCAATTTGAGACTTGTTGGATCGGACAATTTTACAACTAGTTTCTGGTTTGTTAGCACCCATTTTGAAAATCGTTTACGCCGAGGTGCAGCTTCTGAGATAGTTAGTTTAGATATGTTTCATTGCGAATCCTTACTAAATCCTTCGTTCTTTTATGTGTGTATTGAAATGCTTGACATGATGGCTATCCATTTAAAACCGTGTACTTCTCAAATACTTTGCATGCCGTTAGTACATACTTGCTCTCAGAACTTAGATTCATTAATTTTGCTTAGTCTAAACGATCAGAGAATCTGATGTCTGCAGAAGTGTGGAATGTTAAATCGCTTATAGTAGGAGTGTAGTAGGTGAATCTTCGTTATATCAGTATACGGTATATTTTGTGAATTGTTAATTCTGTTGGCTAATAAATGAACGTTCAACTATTACATTTATTGAGTAGAATACTGATTTATCAATATTATGCAATTATTCAAGAAGTCATCGACTGATCACAGCTCACTAGACCGCATTATTAACTCGAGTCCATGGGTAATTTGAAAACAAAAATAAAATCGTTAACCAAAATAATAGTATTTTGCAAAAAATAACATTAGCAAAGAAAATGAATAAGACAAGTGAAGGTAAATAGTTTGAATGTCAAGCACTCTCCAATCAATTCAGACGAGATTGTCAGACCAAATTCTTAATTATTGTATCACCTGCCCCACGAATTGATGAAGCATCTAAATACGTATGTAATGGAAGGGTAAAGACCATGAGGTCGCAGATCAAGCTCGACAGCTTCCACTATATTAATCGTATATCTTTGATAAACGTCGTTTATAGACAAGCAGACCAGGCCAAATAACACCAAAACATGAAAAATAACGATCACACAAAATCAAGTCACAAGTAGTTGTGAGTGTGAGAAAGTGTTACTTTACTAATAAATTGGGAATAAGTTAAGAATGGCAAATCGTATAACAGTAGTCAATAGGTCAAATGGAAGTTTATAACAAAACGAATATGAATATACATATGATTTAGTTGACAGTTATCCAATAAGGATATATGTATTAATACTCCACGAATAATTCCTAAAAGTCACCACTCATTTATTCTTCGTTCGGATGTAACAAACATGATGACCAAGAGTCAAATTAAACTATAACCGTGTTACAAATGATCAGAATACATCAATGCAAGTCAACTAAACTAAGAAAACTCACGCCATGGAAATGTTTCTTTCATCAATCATTTTGTTGCTTGAACGAATGAAGAGTAAAATTATGTTGTTTCTCTTCACTTAGACCACGTTTACAAAGATCAAGTCCTCAACTTCAATTTGTTTCAGAAGAAAGTAATTTTGGCAGTAAATTAGCACCAACCATGTCTAAACAGAATCCTACAAATGAATCACAATTACAAATGACTTCTCAAAAATATCCCAACTGTCTACATAACAGTAATAATGATAATAATAATTATAATAATAACAATGGTACTATTCAACAAAAACAAATCACATCTAATTCACCTGATATTCATTTCAGTCATGATCAACGAGTTGTGACATTTGGTACAAAACCAAATACTACTAATACTACTAGTAATTTATCAGTTGTGCCGAGCAGTGAGGATGATGAATGGGATTCAGAAACGGAAGATTTAAATATTGTTGCAGCTGAAATCAATAAATCTCAACAGTAAGCACAATTGGTATTTACTTCAATGCGTAATTAAGTAGTATTGTAAATCGTGCTAAATAATCGTTTTGATTTCCGTTAATTATACAAATTGAATAGTTGAAATCATGAGTCATTTGAATCTAGACCACCATGGAAAAGCTGTAAGCACTGGGCGGTCTTATCGTCCTAGTTTGAGAATCTTCAGCAGTGCTCATCCACGATCCCACATCGCGAGATTAGAACTATAATATCCACAAACACCTCTCTCTTATTACGGTTGTAGAAAGGACATTATGTTCAACTATCATTTTATCGAAATTAAATGATAGTTGAAAATATCTCTGAAATGGAGTTAATTTATTCTAACGAGGGCAGGATAGTGATGTTTAGTGTTCCTAAGTTGGAAATACTCCGAATTCTTATCGTTTTGGGCATTACAGACAAATTTATGATAGTAAATATTAAGTTTTTAGGTATCATTACCAAGGTTTGATTTGATAATTTCGAAAAAATTGAGCATTTGGTTGATTGTTATAAATAAAAATAATATCTCTTAAGATGAAATCATGAGCAAATTGAAGATAGACCACCATGGAAAACCTGGAAGCACTGGACGGCCGTTTCGTCCTAGTATGGGACTCCTCAGCAGTGCGCATCCATGAAATTTCTAAAAATCTCCACAAAACCCATTCTGATAAAAATAATATATTTGTAATATCATATTATTATTATTATTATTATTAATGGCTTTATTCAATATTATATTTTGGTACAATATAGAATTCTCAGCACGGGGTATTTCAACAAGTTACTTACTGAACAACGAACAAAAAAGGCAGTAGCGAATACATAAAGAAATATATAAAATAAAAATTTTAAAAAAAAAAAACCAAAAGAAACTACAAACTTTTAAAATTAAAGACATGTTAAGAATGTAAGTTATTGACTAAGTTAATTCTAACAACCTGTTCGTCACTGAGTATATTTGCTAGGTAAGGTATTATAGAACTTTCATACTTTTCCTTGCGTGCATGGATTTTAATGTAATTACGTCTCGTTCTACCAGAAGATATACAAGGAGAAAGATAAGAGTGAAGGGGATGGCTAGTATCTGATAAAATAACACCTGCCAGGAGTTTGCATGATTTTAAATGTCTGTCCACAACCATATTAATTATGACCTCGAAAGATTCACCACACGTCTTACTAACTGCCTTTAGCACTCTTCGCAATACAGCAAAGTCTTTTCTCAAAAGCCCGGGAAAGAATAATGGAGAACAGTAAAGAATAATAGGTAATATGCAAGAATTGACAAATTGTAAGAGAAAATGACGAGTAATTCCAAGAGCATGCAATCTCTTTATGTAGTAGGTCAGACGGAAAACCTTCTTCGATAACGATAAAACGTGGGAAGACCAAGCGAGATCAGAGGAAAAGGTGATACCAAGATAATCGACCTTCGACACCGAGTTTATCAAAGAGTCTCCGATGGTACAAGCACTATGGGATCTCAAAATGGAGTTTATATTCCGTTCATGTCTCATGCTAAAGTTAACAGCTTGACATTTAGACGGATTAAGTATGAGACCATTACCAACAGACCAACAATCAATACGGGACAAAAACTCATTCATTTCTATGGGATGTAAAGAGGAAGATATAGGCATACATACAGTGAGATCATCCGCGTACTTCACAAAAGTGTTTTCTGTGGAAGATGGCAGGTCATGCAGAAAAAAAGAGAATAGAAGAGGTGAAAGAACAGCTCCTTGTGGTACACCTTCCTGAGACAGTAGAGACTCTGAACTCTCCTCCAAACACTGTGTACTGTTCCCTTCCAGAGAGGTAGGAACATAGCCAGTTGGTTATCCAGCTGTCAGTGTTGACGCTGATTAACTTATTAATTAAACGTTGTCTTGATATAGAATCAAAAGTTAAAGTATAGTCCAGAAAAGCGCATCAAACATACTTCTTACCCTTTTCTAAGTTGAACACTATATTGTGATGCAGAACAGCAACAGCATGTAAGGTGCTTCTTTTGCTCCTGTATGCAAACTGGTATGGGTCAGTATGCTCTTTTATCGCAGGCTGAAGTGGAAGTATTAATAATTTTTCCATGGTTTTGAGGAAAGGTGAAGTTATTGCAATAGGTCTAAATTTTACATTCTTATCACCAGATGCTTTCTTGGGTACAGGAATTATCTTCATCTTTCTCCACATTTTTGGTATGAGATTAGATGAGAAAGATCTGTTAAAAATAGTTGTGAACGGATGACACAGAACGTCAGCACATTTTTTAAAAAGGAGGTTTGGGATACCATCAGGTCCCAAACATCGAGATGAATTAAGAGACTGGAGACATCTTCGTACATCAGTCTCAATGAAAGTAAGAACACAGCTATTATTTAAACCCGTGAATAGAGGGAGCATCACATCAGATGACTGACGTACAAAAGACTTATTTAAGTCACAAACATTCAGCTGATTATCGCTTCTAAACTTTCTGTCACCTGTAAGTTCTTTAAAGAGTTTCCACATACTTGGAGAGTTTTTGCAAGATAAGAGTTTTTGAGTAAACATGCAGTTGAGACGTCTAATCTCTAGGTTTATCAGACCATTTAGCTTACGAACTTCATTAGAGTTCTTCTCCTTGTACATTCTTTCTTTCATCCTCCGTAGTCGTTTTAGTTGTGTAGATGTAAGTCGATCAAAACTTACAAAAATGGTTTCAGTGGGACAACAAATATCAAAACAGAATTTAAGGTAACAAGTGATAACATCAGTAGTGATTTCCAGTGAGTCATCTGTAAATAATTCCCAGTTAGTCGTATGAAACATGTTTTTCAGATTTCGGATATTTTCTTCTGAGTAATTCCTATATTTGACTTTCCTGGTTTGACGTAAGAGTGTACTTTTCCCATGCTTTCCATATACTTTAGGTAGAACACGAATCATACAGTGATCTGAGCTAGACAATGGAGCACGTTTACGAGTCGCATATATACCCACATCATTAATGAAAACGAAGTCTAAATGAGCATCCAAACGAGTAGGAAAATCTACTACGTTTTGGTGACCTAGTGACGTGAGGAAGCTACAGTCACATGAATTGAAATCACCGCATACAATTGAAAGTGAATCACTGAAGGCAGTAACAGCGAACTCAATGAATTATTCAGCGAAAACAGATAGTGCAGATGATGTGCAATCTGGAGTAACGTAGATATTGGTAACATAAACATATTTGTATTTATTCAGATGTTTTGGACGACATCTTAGAGTTAGACAGTCGATAAAGTCATTTGAAAACTTAAAACACACAGACGAAGATCGACACCAGTTTATGTTTACAAACGTAGCTACACCGCCACCACACCTTTTTTTATTGTTCGATCGATCCTGACGATAAATTTTGAAATCATGTAGTGATACAAGACAGTCATCCTGTAAATCATTCAACCAAGATTCTTGAATTGTGATGACACCACAATTACGATACGTATTTTGACTAAGCAGGAATTGCAGATAGTCCCAATGAGTAGAAAATTAGATTTTCTGACGTTTCGTGACTTAGTGTAAGTCACTTCTTCAGAGAATAAATAACCAAATTAAAATTAATCCAAGTCTCAATAGTACAACGGAACAATGCAAGAATAATATTTGATCAATCGAAAACAGGTCTGAACAAGTTGATGTCTTGTCATTTCTGTCAAGGTGATTCATAATTGATATATATGTAAATTTGTGTGTGTATGTATGTGTGCATTGTTTAAGAATGAAGACTTGTGTGACTTTATGGTAAGAAAGGATAGAGTTTAAATTTGTAATATGATAGTGTGAAATTGTAAGTACGATCAGACTGAATGGCTAGGATAGATGGTCCAAGTAGGATGTATGGTAAGGTCTTCTTTTCTATTGAGAGAAGTAGGAATAAGCATTATATGGAACGCCTCAGCTACCCTCCTTTCTTTGTAGTTGGAAAAGCCTTTTTGCAATATTTTGATATTTTTAAAATCGATTTGGTGGTTGTTCAAAATGGCATGAACTGCTATTGCTGATCTAATTTGAAGTTGGTTATTTATTCTCTGAAGAAGTGACTTACACTAAGTCACGAAACGTCAGAAAATCTAATTTTATACTCATTGGGATATTACAAATATATTATTTTTATTTATAACAATCAACCCAATGCTCAATTTATTCGAAATTATCAAATCAAACCTTGGTAATGACACCTACATATAATTTGAAGTTGGTTCAATTCTACAGGATTGTTAGGAGGTTTCTTTGTGTACCTAATATGTTCTTTGGCTCTAATCAAGATTTCGCGAGACGACTCTCCAATATAATAGGCATCAAAATCAATACAAGCTAATTTGTAGACGCAGTTCTGTGTGGACATGAAAGGGATTTTTTCTTTCAGGCGAACTAAAGTATTACGTAGTGTGTTCGTTGTTTCGTAATATACTTTAAATTCTGTGATGTTTTAAGATTCTTTGGATTTCTTCTGTTGGGCCATGACGGTATGGTAGAACTGCAGTACCAATCCATGGCATTTCATTCGAAACATTATTATAATGTAATAAATTGTTTTGTTTTAATATGCTTCTAATAATCTTCATAGGAAAATTATTAAAATGTAAGATGCTAACTATATTCATCTGTTCTTTTTGTTTGTCTTCCTGTGATGTGATGATCTTGTTAGCTCTTCAAAACAGATTTAAGGCTAGCGAGATCTTAGGACTGAAAGGATGTGCTGAATGGAAGTCAATATAACGATTTGAATGTGTCGGTTTTCGGTAAATGGATAGGTTTAGACTTCCATTTGGATTTCTTTTTACTAAGCAATCCAAGAATGGTAGCTCACCATGTACATTTTCATTGGTGAATTTGATGTGTGATGAAAGTGTATTTATTCGTTTAGAAAAAGATCTTAGATGAGTCTTTTTTATAACAACAAATGTATCGTCTACATATCTAAGCCAAATTCGTGGTATAATGTTGTGGGCGAAGATATTTGATTCTATGTATGCCATAAAAAGGTTGGCTACAATCGGGGACACGGGGGATCCCATTGCTACTCCGTTAGTTTGTTTGAATAACATACCGTTAAAAGTAAATAGCGTTGAATTTAAGCAAAGTTTTAAGAATTTCATGATTAGACTGATTCTCAACGGGCATCTGTCAGGAAGAGTATTGTCGTTCTCAAGTAAACCACTAATGAATTCTAAGCATTTATCAATGGGAACACTTGTGTATAAAGGAACGACATCAAAGCTTACCATGATTTCATTCTTCTCGATGATTAATCTGGATAATTTTGATTTAAAGTCATATGTGTCTTTAATTATATTAGGTAGGTTGAGCTGTAGGGGTTTTAATATATTGCTTAAATATTTCGATAATGCATATGTTGGGGTGTTTGTGAAGTCTACTATCGGTCTTAGAGGAATATTTGGTTTATGAATTTTTGGTAAGCCATAAAACCGTGAGACATTACATGATTTAGGATGCAAAGCAAACCAAAGGGAGACCTCAATGATTGGTTTTAGCTCGTTCAGAAGTTGACTTGTTTCTAATTTGACTTTATTCTTAATCGTTAGAAAAGTTTTTGGATTGATCTTTTCATAAGGTCCTGTTGAGAGATGTTCAAGAGCTTTATTAATATAATCTGTTTTATTCATGATTACTGTTGTGTTGCCTTTGTCGGCTTTTGTGATGATAGTCGTTTTGTCTTTTTTAAGTGAATGCAGAGCCTTCAGTTCTTCTTTTGAAATGTTTGGTGTAATGTGTTTTTGTTTAGTCAAAATATGGGATGTCTTTTGACGTAGCAAATGCGACTCTTTCTCCGGTAGTTGTGCGATTATTGGTTCTATAATTGGATCAATTTCAAGAGTGCTAAGTGGTTTTCTATGTAAATTGAAATTTAATTCCTTCTCCAGTAGAGTGATTTCGTGACTGTCTAAGTTTCTGTTCGAGAGATTATGAACAGTTCTTCTTAGATCAATCGAATTATATTATATTGTTGATGTTTTCCTATCTTTCTTCTTTTCTTTGATGTTTTCGAAGTTTTTAATTTGTCGGTGTTTCGATGAATTTAAATAGTGGCGTTGTCTTTCTATAAACAAAATGGATATCGTGGTTTGTAATTCGGTCGAGATTAAAAGCTTCAGTAAATCATCAAGGTTTTTGATTCGTTCACGAGATTTTTCTAGTAAATGTGTGCATTTGTGAATGCGTTCTCGTAAAAATATTCGAGACGCGTGTTGCGAAGTCTGGATGGATCTCCAGGACAGTTCTTGAGGTTTTATAAAAAGAGATTTAGGGATGATGTTGTCTTGTAAACATCGTTTATTAAACAATGCACACATACATACACACACAAATTTACATATATATATCAATTATGAATCACCTTGACAGAAATGACAAGACATCAACTTGTTCAGACCTGTTTTTGATTGATCAAATATTATTCTTGCATTGTTCCGTTGTACTATTGAGACTTGGATTAATTTTAATTTGGTTATTTATTCTCTGAAGAAGTGACTTACACTAAGTCACGAAACGTCAGAAAATCTAATTTTCTACTCATTGGGATATTACAAATATATTATTTTTATTTATAATATTAAGTTTTGTTTATTTCAGTTGAGTGTGAAAATGCAACATCTATTCCGCGATTACGTAATTACACATTTACATGAATATAGACTAGATGATAAAGAAAATTCTCATGATTATTTCTCACTGTTCAATGTAAATAATCACAATCACGAATTATGAAGTACATGTTATTTGTAATATTAGAATGAATTTAATAACCTGGACACTTCAATGCTCCATATGTCTATTCATGTTTTATGAAAGAAGATTTGGGAAGATATTCTTGAATAGTCTAAAATCCATCTGCATTAAGATGACTGGATTCGGTGAGTCGGATTGTGCTGGAGTTATCACTCTAGATAAGTTGAAATTAAAATCCACTTCGTTTGATGTTAAGTGGTTAGTTAGTATGAATTTCTCAATCGTACAGGGGATTGTTTGTCCTGTAAATATTTCAGTGTTACTATCTTTAAAGCAATTAGTCCTTTAATGTCTTTAATGTCTCACATCAACTCGGCGCCCAAATACTGTGAAACTATTCGATCAAATTAGTCCTCTTTATAAATTTCGATAGAACAATAAGAAGACGGAGTTGATCTGAAAAATGTAATGTATTTGCACTATGCATTTTGAGCAATCCGGTCATTTGACACTAATTGGTTTTGAAGCCATCTAGGCACATGTTCAATGACCCTTGATTGCACTGCTCGATTACTCCTCTCTGTGTATGTATGTCCACACAAACATGTAAATTGATGAATACAACTGGTAAATAATAAAATCTTTGAAATTACCGAGTCAAGTTATCAGCCTACTGGAAGTCCTAGTTTCTATGAGATTACTGACACACTGTACTGACTAATGCTAACTAGAATCAAGTAATCAAATAAACTAACAAATTCCCTAAAAAATTAATGTAAAATGTGAAAGACGATTCACGATCACCAGACATGGTGACAAGCAATTATTGATTATATAATGAAGGACACAGTTGCGAACCTATCCTAACCGTGGTAATTACATCAGTCTATTACATCATTTTTGTAATTTTCTTCTTTCCTATTTGTATTTGCATCATCTATTTGAAGTCATGACATAGTTTAACTGACTGATCTGAACTGATGTTATTCTTAATTGCTATTAATTTTGTTCAACTGCTGCTATATATTTTTACGTAATCCATTCACCACATCGAATCAACTAAAACATGCTCTTGTACATCTTTAGTACATTTCGAAATCTGTAAGGATACTCAAAATAGCCGAATCTTTGTCTATAGAAACATATGGAATTATCTATTCCACTTCCACTAAATTAAATAGCATATCGCATATATTTATCTTCTTAAAATAAATCAGTTTACTGACTGTGTCGATGGTTGAATCAAGTCTTTAATATATAGTAATCGAAACAAGGATGAATAATCGATTCTAAGTATATCGTATAAAATGATATCCGAATCATTCCTGTTGACGTCGTTCAGTCAGGTAGTAATTGTTTCAACAGTAAATAATCAAATTGATGACGAATACTGAATTGAAAATAATCTTATTGAGAATTTTCTTGACACCCCTTAACGAAATTTGTGAATCTAAATAAAGGTAATTATCTGGTCACACATAAATTCACAATCTATTATCATTCATCTAAAGAATGATAATAATAAGCCGAATTTTATATGAAAGAAGTTTCATTTAAAAATATGCGACTGGTACCACAGATAAGCACAATAATACGGTCAGTATATATCTGTTATTATTTAATCAATCTGATTGGTTAGATATTACATTCAATTCACTTTAAATTCGTGTACAATTCAATCGTCACATATCAAACATAGACTCAACATCAAAGTCACACCACCGTATTCAAACACAATGAAAGAGACAGTCGGTTCACGGAGAAAATTATGTATCATCAACAAACGATTGGATGGGAAAATGGCAATCGTGACAGGATGTAACACTGGAATCAGTCTTTATACAGCCAGTGAATTAGCTCATCGTGGTGCGACAGTCATTATGGCATGCAGAAATACCGAACGAGCCAACAAAGCTAAAAACGTCTATTGGAAATGTATGGTAAGAATAATGAGAAAAGTGGAGAAACAGATACTGCATGTAGTCAAATGAAGCCATATTTAAAGCCCATCGAGTCGGATCAGGTATGCCAATACTGAATTAGTCATATTCTCTTCGAGTTATTTGCATGTTATTAGAGTGTGTGTTTGTGGAGATTGTTTTGTTCGCAGGCGGTTTACATAACAAACTGTCATCAACTCGAGAACCACTTATAACCGATTTGTACTCAACAATTGCTTAATACTAACCTCAGATTAAACACCGCAACGCTCACTCTAATATTCATAAACGTCTTTCAGAAAACATGATTGCTACTGACTCCATTACGTCTGCAAATAACACTAAACTAAGTTTGCAACATTTTGTGATATTTTATACACTATATTCATTAGTTGAGAAAACACTTTCGAATGAATGCATCTGTTGATTTGCCGACACATCGTTAACACGGTTATTAATATTATTATTATGGCTTCATTCAATATTATATTCTTGGTACAATATAGAATTCCCAGCACAAAATATTTCAACAAATTTCCTTTTCTCATTTCTTGGTCGATCCTGCCGACAAATCAATCAAACTGTTCATGTTGGTAATGATAGACTTGTCGAACTAATCTACTCATTACATTGTCTCTATTGGTGCAAATATATATCATACAGCCAACGATCATCCAAGTATTTAACAGGTCATAATACATTGAAAACTCACTTTCCTCAATCCTTGAAATCAAATATTATAATACCCGAATAAGGATAAAACAATAGTTAGATTCATTATATTTCACGGTTCCTCGTCGGTTTCTTACAATTATATATGTAGTGAAGTATAACATTAAGATATGATACAGTATGAAATGATCGACACTAATGAAAGAAAACGAAATGAGAATAAATAAATGCATAAATATACTTCACTACATATATGGTTGTAGGGAGCTGACGAGGAATTATGAAATACAATGATTTCATATAATTCTGTTTCAATTGTTGTTCAGCCTTTATTCAAGTTCGTAAACGGAACCAAATGCATGAAGTATATTGTCCCGCCATACTATATTCAGATTTTATTGAAACAGTGGAGACAATGTGTTTAAGAAAGATTCTCATCAATTTTCTTCTTCCATAATATTTCGATTTTATTCCAGTTGATCATTGAACAACTTGATCTGGCTTCGTTAACATCAATCAGAGAATTTGTTGACAGAATCAAAAGTAAATACAATGAAATAGATTTTCTCATCAACAATGCTGGACTCATACTACAGAACTATACAACAACTGAAGATGGTTTTGAAATGACAATGGGAGTGAATTATTTTGGACCATTTCTACTGACAGAATTGTTGTTACCATTGTTGAGGAATGCTGCACCATCACGAATAATAAATGTGTCATCTGCACTGCATAAAGATGGATGCATTCTAAAACCTGATTTGCAGTACAGTAAGGAAAATTATAATGCAATGAAGGCATATAGTGTATCGAAATTGGCAAACGTGATACATACTATTGAACTGAATGAACGTTTGAAAGATAGTGGTGTGGTGGCTGTCTGTTTACATCCCGGAGCTGTCAAAACTGAATTGATGAGAGATCTGACAAATTTTCCTATGGTGAGATATTCTAATACTTTTACTTATCATTTGATGTTGGTGTTTAATTTAGTGCAATAACAAAATTCATTATAAAATAATCGTAATATGCATACTGATGTAGAGATTTTATGTCAAGTGAACCTAATTTCTACCGTAATTTCTGCTTCGATTTGAAATTACGATAAAATTGATTGATATGACGATCATGATGAACATGAGATTGTTCACATATAAACCATCAAGTTGGTTGAAATAAAGTGGTTAATTGTTTGTCGATCTGAACATTACGATCGATTTCCAGTAGTTAGATGAAGTGGGTATTAATGTTACTCAACAATGAAATACATAGGACAATATCTTGGTATGTTTCCGATATGTATATTTGATATATCGGAGGAATATATTAAAATTACGTTCTTTTACTCATTATGATTTTTGTTCAACATTAATTCCGTTTTAAGTCAATGTGATGGTTTCTCATTGTAGTATTTGTTTTGTTTTCCCGTATGATATTTTCTTCTGTAAAACTATGATAATTAGGAGTAATTGAATTACAGTACAAAATAAAAATCCTATAAATAATGTAATTTAAGCAAGGAGTACTAGATGAGCAGAAACCATTGTGTTGTATTTGGAATTCGAAATCAGGCAGTCAATAAGTACAAAGGAATCATTGTTCATACAAACAACACAAATATATACGATATTCTTGTATTAAATTAACATGAACTAGGCTGAGCATGACATGTAGCATATGATTTGTTATATCTGTAAGTATTATTCATATATGTGATTTCATCCTAATTATTAATCAAAATGGGTGTATGAATCAATATATAAATGATTGCATTTTCGACTAGAGTCGTCGTTATCGTGTTTTGTGATTAGTAAATTTTCATTTGTACCAGTCTTTGTGCCCTTACTTTCACGTCGTCGGAATTACAGTGGCTCCTCACTTTACAAATATAAGTGATTGTCGATTCCTACATAGCAATCAGAGACGACCAGATAAAACAAAGCAACGTTCAATCGAAAAGACTTGTCAGTGGCGACAAGAAAGCCACAATGAATATATCTTGGGACCAACTAGAAGCATATATGGAACATCAAGAGAAACTGTTTGGACAGTCACAGATGAGAATCATGGAAGCCATGGTTCAGAAAATGTGCTTGTTCCAGAAAAACCCCGCTTCTGATGAATTACAAGTATCGCATGCTGATTCAGTCAATAATGCCATCCATGAATTTAATTTTGATCGTATAGTAGGTGTTACTTTTGACTCTTGGTTCAAGGAATATGAAGATTTGTTCCATATTGATCTCTGCAGATTGAACGACGCCTCAAAAGTCAGACTGCTTTTAAGAAAAAATAGGATGACGGAACATGAGAGCTTCGGTAACCTTATTTTTCTAAAGAACCCACGAGCCTTTAGTTTTGATTACACAATAAAAACCCTGTCTCAAATCTTTGGAGAACAGTCATCTCTATTTATTATTCGTTAACAATGCTTGAAGATAACGAAAGAACAAGGAGATGACTGGACAAATCATGCAGGAATTGTGAGACGAGAATGTGAAAGGTTCACGTTGTCTTTCATAACAGAAGACCAGTTTAAATGCCTAATATTTGTCTGTAGCCTGCGTTCTCTCGAAAATGCCGACATCCGAATGACAACACTAAGCAAGCTCGAACATTGTCACAACATGACCAAACAGGAAGTAGCTGCTGAATGACAAAGGTTGGTGAATTTGAAGGACGATACCTCGATGGTAGAGAACGGTAATCCGATACTTCACATAAACGCACACGAGAGAAACGTTTTACAAGGTTCTAGCACGCAGAATTACCGTCATGACAGTGGCTAAACTTTATGTCCATGCTGATTATGTGGTGACTGGTATTTCAAAAGGTTTCGTCCGTTTAAAAATCATCGTTATACTGTTATATATATATAGTTTCAACAAAACTTTGTAAATCATTAGCATTTATCAATATACAGACTGTAATATGTATTATTCACCTCATTTATTTTAGAATATTATACTGCCATTGTCCGCAAATTACTTAATACACCGAGGGATGGCGCACAAACCACTCTATATACTGTATTAACAGATAATTTGTCTCCTGGAGGTTATTATTCAAATTGCACATTGAAAAAACCTTCAAAATCTGTTCAAAATGGGGAAGACAGAAAATGGTTTTGGAATAAAACATGTGAACTATTGAGCATACAATGTGATAACTAGGTGTGAATGACTACTCAAGTGAACTGTGTAGACAGAATTCGGTGTTCATTTTGATGATCGTATTGAGACAAATTCACCAATAGATCAGTTAATAGAATGTGATGATTTTCAATTTGGTGTTATTTACAATATTATTTCACTTTGTACACACTGATTTGAGTGAATGAAAGCGTTGCTCTTTTCAAAGAGTTAACAGTTTGTGTGTGTTTTCTGTTTGGTTAATTGTGACTTGACTGGATGGTGTGAGTATTGCATGAATAATTTGACGGGATGTGATTTTGTTTGTTGATGAACTGATCGACTTGAAAACAGTTTTCATCAGGGAATGAGATGAGTGGAAGAGTCATTTTCACAAATGTTCACATCTCGATCTCTGTTGACATTCACCACATCACATGAGATCGAAGTCAGCACATCGACTTACCTTTCCAGTTCGGTCTAGTTTGATATTGACTGAATGAAAGAAAAGTGACTTTTACTCAAAAGGTTATACGTAACTAAGTACCACACATCTAGTCCGTTTCAACATCGTTCGCAATCACTTTCCTGAATGATTTCTTCTGAGACCAATGCATATCTCGTGGACAACACAAATTATTCACTCTGTGTGAATACACATGATCAATCTCAAATGATTTTCTATGCGAAAATCTGCCATTCACCAATATTACTAAGTATATACGACTGTTGCGGGTATATTACAACAGTTGGTATTTCCGAGTGAACAAATATTGTTTGTATCTTGAAATATAAGTGACAACACACTACTAATCGTCAACGAAGCACAAATGCCATTTCGGTTCACTGCACTCTCAATAGTGTTTATACTCGAATTATTCAGATTCGATACTCTTAGGCTCCTCATTGTGTTTGCTTTCCTCTATCATATAATAAGGACACTCCGAATACTTAGATAAATCTTCAGTTGACTCCTCTTCTGAAATCCACCTCCTCATTTTCTCTCGAATCGATCATGTATACTTGGTCACTACCTGTTTATGACCAAAGTCCTTAGATGAATTGTGGCTAGATAATAATGAAACAGTGATCACCAGTAACTATTGTTAAGTTGTGAAAGCAAATCGAGAGTAATGAAACTACTGACGAAGTGTTTATCATTATCATCAGTTAAATGGTATCAACGAAGAGACCAATATAGACAAAATAGAGGTTCGAGCGGTACGATTGTTGTATTTACCCTATTGAAATAGCCTATCCTATTAGACACAGCTGTGATCAACTGTTATTAAATCCACAGATTCATGCAATATGAACTCCGCATTTCTCACTATACAGTCAATCAATTATCGAGTATTTGTGATCTGTGCATGTATTGCACATTCACATACTGCTGCGCACCCATTAAGTAAAACAGAAATTGCAGTAGTACAGTAATCTCCTACTGTTCTTCGTACTCTCCAAGTTGTCAGCATCTACACCGAACAGATCTGTGCTCGCTGAATAGTCCTTGCTGGTGAGAAAGCAATCATGTACGAGTTCAGTAGTTCGACAGTGAGACGGTGAGAACGACAACTTCAAAATTACATACGTATCCAAACAAACATTGATGCTACGATTAAGCTGTCATTACAGACACCAATAAACGAAGCGTGATGATGGATTATACATTGGCTTGAAAGCCTGTAGGAAGTTAAATCTTTGGTCATTGTTGGAGCTAGTCGTACAGACAGAAAAACGAGATGAATTGTAGCTAAATAATCATGAAACAGTGATCACCAGTCACTATTGTTAAGTTGTGAAGGCAAATCGAGAGTAATGAAACTACTGACGAAGTGTTTATCATTCAGTCACCAGATAGATGGTATCAACGAAGAGACTAGTACAGACATAATACTGCACACACAGAGCAAAGTGAATCACACAAAGGCCACAATCAAACGCGTCCAAATGACAAAACCACAAAAAATGCAGGTAAAACATAACACGGGGTCGAGTGATGATAAATATTAAATAATACGGAAAATCACTATCAGGTGAACGATCTGCCACACAATAACCAACTTCTATCCAAGTGATCTGGGGTCACTCAGAATCCAGTACGATTGTTGTATTGACCCCATTCAATAAGTCGACCCCATCCAACACAGCTCCGATCAACAGTCGTCACATCCACAGATTGATGCAATATGGAACCATTGTCTCACAAACCAACACAGAATTATTTTGGTCAGAGAGTGAAACTGTTCTTATAAAACCTCATTAACAAATCAGTCATCTGAATCGAATTCATCGTATGCACCATCAGATCTGGTCACAGAGACCACATTGGTAATTGAACTGACGGCTAAAATGCATGTGAACTTCACACCAGTCAATAAAATTAAGTTCAATAAACTTAATTTTGCTCTTAACGATAAAGAAATATTTGGATGATGAAATTTAACTTGAAAGTTCGGTGAATTATTTTGTTGACTGTTGAAATATGAGTTTAATGATTGAAGATTTATCACACAGATTGTTTTCTTCAACTTCAGTCAAGTTCCATTCAATCTAAAACAAACATGGGAACAGGAACTACGTAGACCTAAAAGTAACTACGACATAAATTATGACATTATTGCTAAGTCTATTTTACGTTCTCTGTCCTTACTCACTTTCCTTCGACTCTTTCGTGTATTGTCTTATACTACTTTTCAATATTCAGTAAATAGTTGCATTCCTAGCAATTTCTACACGTACTCATGTTTTTCGTGAAATATTTCAAAATGTTTACATGTACTTTTATATTGTACATATGTACATATGTAACCAAACAATCATTGATGTTACGATTAAGCTGTCATTACAGACACCAATAAACGAAGGGTGATGATCGATGATACATTGGCTTGAAAACCTGTAACATTTTAAATATTTAGTCACGTATCAAAATCATGGACTGTAGTACATTTTCAACTGTATTATTTATGCAGACAGCTCGTTGGATTTCGTGAAGAAATTTCCGTTCTCCTGTGTATAGATGAAGACAATGACAATTCGGACTGTCAGAGCTAGTCGTACAGGCAGAAAAACGAAGTGAAAATTTATTTTGGAAACATGTATTTACTTAAAAATTAGTAGACGAGGTTGAGTTTGACGAACACGTTCAGTCGGTGACCATTTCCTGTTCACATGTGTGGTGGAAGCATCCATTGAGCTGTATTGAGCAGTGAAGAGAGAGATCCAATATTGAAGCTACTTATAAAATGTTATGTGACTGAAAATTAAAAATATACATCAATTTGATCTTGTCCAAACTCCGCCTGTAGCTCTTCCAGAGTTACTACCGGACCCAAGCCCGGGTAAAAGAGGAGGGTTGAGCATGGGGTTAGCGTCCACATCCCGTAGAAAACTAACTCGCTAAAAAACGCTTACCAGTGATCTTGTCCAGAGTTTCTATAGAGATCCATTCCTTATGAGGATACTTCTTTAGGCCCAGAAACTCTTGACACGTTGAAGTTAACGCTTCTTTGATACTTTTCCAGCTGTCCTCCATAGTAGATTCTTCTTCCTTCAGTAGATCCCGTAAGGCTTGGAACCTGTTGTTGAGAGCTATCTTGAATTCATTGAGTCTGTCAGTATCTCGAAGGAAGTTTGTATTGAACCTTTGTGCGTAAACCTTTGTGTGACTGAAGGTTTAAGATATACGTCAATTTGAGACTTGTTGGATCGGACAATTTTACAACTAGTTTCTGGTTTGTTAGCACCCATTTTGAAAATCGTTTACGCCGAGGTGCAGCTTCTGAGATAGTTAGTTTAGATATGTTTCATTGCGAATCCTTACTAAATCCTTCGTTCTTTTATGTGTGTATTGAAATGCTTGACATGATGGCTATCCATTTAAAACCGTGTACTTCTCAAATACTTTGCATGCCGTTAGTACATACTTGCTCTCAGAACTTAGATTCATTAATTTTGCTTAGTCTAAACGATCAGAGAATCTGATGTCTGCAGAAGTGTAGAGTGTTAAATCGCTTATAGTAGGAGTGTAGTAGGTGAATCTTCGTTATATCAGTATACGGTATATTTTGTGAATTGTAAATTCTGTTGGCTAATAAATGAACGTTCAACTATTACATTTATTGAGTAGAATACTGATTTATTTATTTATTTGAACACATAAATATTGGTACAAGAGAGCGCCAGTATATATGCGACACACAAAACAATGAGAATTCGAAGAGAAAAAAAGGTAAGGAGCGTAAAAAAAGAGAACAATAACGAAGAGGTTGGTGTAAGGTAGTGTGGTAGTAATGAGCGAACGGAAAGGTACAATCAGAAGAAATCTTTCAGTTAAGGAAGACACAACCACTTTTTATGAAGAAAGTAAAAGAAGGTTACAGCAGGATCGCCACTGGCTTCTATTCTGAGCCATATCTGATAACGTTTCAAGCCACTGTGTAGCACCATCTCTCAGACCCCAACCGGGGAGCCGTGAAGGACCAACAGAAGCCAGTCCTTTGCAGCTTTCTTTCATGCCACGACACCATGTCATGCACTGACCACCTCTCCGCCTCTTCTAACCAGTTCCAGAGTCGGCAAATAATGCACGACGTAGAATTCTCCGGGATGACATTCGGAGAACATGTCCAAGCCACCGAAGTCGGTGTTTCAAGATGGTGACATCGATTGCATTATCATTTCTGTGCCCGAACACACGATGCCGAACCTCTGCATTACTGACATGGTGTTGCCACTGGATGTCAGCAATCCTTCGGAGACAGCGATGATCGACCACAGAGAGTCGTCTAACGTCCTTAACTCGGAGAGACCAGGTTTCACAAGCATAGAGCAAGACTGCTCTCACCGACGCGTTGTAGATCCGACCTTTTACAGACAGACTAACATCACGAAGGCGCCAAAGGTGGCCCAGATTGGCATTAGCCGCTCTGGCTTTCACTATACGTGCATTGATCTCATCACTCACACCCCCACCAGCACTTATGCAGCTACCCAGATACACGAACTTCTCAACTACGTCTATCTGCTCACCATCCAGGGTGAGTACAGGATTAGAATCCTGCCAGTCTTGTAGAAGTACTTTGCACTTCGAAGGTGCAAAGCACATACCATACCTACGGACACTGATTGCCAACTGATTAAGTGCGGATTGCATGCCTTGGGCATTATCGCACGGTAAGACAATATCGTCCGCATATTCAAGGTCGAG